TTGAAAAGAAAAGTGATAATATTGAATCGAGGAAAAATTTGCCAGAATGGCTTGTTGAGCTTGATTATGCATACTATTACAACCAGAAGGGTTAACCAAGAGTTTTGCATCAGCGATTCCTCACTGTTAACAGCTATCTGCAAAGGACAGGTATTGTTATAGTGCACTGCAGCCCTGTTTTGATTTTGTAATGGATTCAGTATGGGGTAGGGGTTATGTAATTGCGCAGTGTGTTGAAACAGTAATAAAATAAGCAAAAACTGGAAGACAGGTGAACGGAACATGGAGAATAACAGAAGACAGCCCGACGGGGACGCAGCCATCCTGCGCGATCGAAAGCCATCGTATGACGATTGGCTCGTCTTGCGCTTTCGAAATGCGCAAACAACCGTTATTGTCTCCGAGTTGTTGCAATCCACATGTGATTTTAAACAGGGCTTCCTATTGTGCTTATGTGTATTACGGTAGGGAGAGATTATTTGCTGGACTGGATGTAATTTATGACGTTGTGTAGTCCAGTTCGACGGAGAACCTTTACATGGAGCTTTGCGCATATTTCGCTTTGGAGATGCGCAAACAACTTTTGTTGCCTTCCGCCTGCCTCCAGCCAGATGTAATTTCAAGTCGGGCTTTGTATTGTATTTGTCTAGATTACGGTAGGGAGAAATTGTTTGTTCAGCTAGAAATGATTTATGACGTTGAGCCGTCCATTTCGACAAAGAAACATTATGAGGAGATTTGTGCATCTTATGCTTTCGAGATGCGCGGGCAGCCTTTGTTGCCTTCCGGCTGCTTCCAGCCAGATGTAATTTCAAATCGCTCTTTGTATTGTGCTTGTCTAGATTACAGTAGGAAGAAATTGTTTGCTCGGCTGGAAATGGTATTTGGCGTTGTGCCGGCCAACATCTAGTAGCAAACGTTGCACGAGTGCGACATATTCGGCTACATTTTAATAATGTGCCTAATAGTTGTGGGTCGTTGTTATTGTCTCGAGATAAGACCTGTCTCGAGATACATTAAAGTAATGTGCGCTTTTGAGAAATAAGAAAGTTCAGATGCGGTGTTTTGAGCCTGATTAGCTCGCATGTTCAGGAAACAGATATGGTGCGGTTGAGTACATGAAGTGCACACATAGTTGCAAGAATGCCCCAGCTCTTGAGTGGGGGAAAACTCGCGATTTGTGGGAGACGGTTGCGAATAACGGGGTGAATTGGATGATATGGGATAAAGATTGTTGCGTCGGTCCGAATAGGATTGCTGGTGTTGTTGAGGAGGGCGATTGGGGCCGTGGAAGGGTCGCTGTTGATTCCCGCGATAAAAAGATTGTAACACTGGAGGTTGAAGGTTTGGAGGAGGCTGTCTGCGAAAGCAGTTGTAGGCTAAATGTCCTATTCTACCACAGTAATTACAATAAGGGTGAGTGTCAAAATTTCTTTCATACTGCCGTCCTTGTTGAACCCATCGTCGGTCGTAAAAATTGGATTGATTGGGATTTCTGGAAAAGTTCTGTGTTGGCCTGTTATTAGGGTTGCAGGATTGCACCGCGAAATTTTGTTTGTTACAGTTAAAGTTGCGATTTCGCTGATTGTTAAGATCGATATCTTTTACAGCATTGATCATAGTGTCTTGTTCTAAGAATTAACAGCTCTATGTTGTTCATTAGAGCTTGCTTTGGACGTGTTGCGAGCTAGTATAAGATTTTCAATCTGGCAAGCTTTAGCTAAAGCATCTTCAAAAGAAGTAGGTGAAGATACTTGCAAATAGAATGATATATCAGGATGCAAGCGATCCATGAAGTGATCAAAAAGCATATCCTTAAACGTGTGTTCGCTTAAACCAATAGTGGCTGCGCGAACAGTATTGCGCAGACGCTCAACGAACAAAGTTACTTTTTCACCATCACGGGGTTTGCAGTTAAGAAGTTTTTGTCTGGCCATATTTCGTGTTTTTGGGGATTCAAAGAGATCCTTTAATTTGCTAACAGTTAAATCAAAATTGTTTTTAGTATCATCATCAAATGACACATACTCTTCACGAGCTAAGCCATCAAGATAGAGACGCAGTTTGCGCGCTTTTACATCAGGAGTCCATGGATTTGGATTCTGAGCCTGTGCAAGATCCTCAAATTTTCTGAGCCATAAAAAGAATGGTGTATCACCATCTCCTGTAAATGGTGTAAGAT